TGGAGACGGTCGGCAAGTCGGTCGATCCCGAGCTCAAGGCGCGCATTGAGCGCGAGAGCGAGGCCACCTATTCCTCGGCTCGTCTCTGGGTAAGTTCTCTCATCCTCTTCATGACCATACTCTTCTAGACAACAAATACACCCATGACAAAGAGAGCATATATACTGACCGATCCGAATCATAGGACGACGGCATCATCCCTCCCCAGCACACCCGCCAGTACCTCGGCCTCGGTCTGAGAGCCGCCATGGGAGGCCGCAACGAGATCAAGGCCGGAGACACAAAGTTTGGTGTCTTTAGAATGTAAAGACGACAATTTCCATTAGCATAAGGCATAATTGATGTAAAGAGCAAAAAAAATGTAAAAGATAATCACATAACACAGCCTCTGGAAACATGCAAGCAACTTCTGGATGAGATTTTGAACATTCGTTTCCCCTGAGAATTAGCCATCCGTGTACAATTTACGCTAGCTACAGACACACACGCGCATCCATCATTGCGCGTTCGACTTGACTGTTTAATATCATCTGAAATTCCAGCAGCAATTCGAAAAGGCCGCCGTGATCTTTGATATCGGGTTAATCTAGTCTGCGAAAACGCCTGCGCTTTTCCCCCTCTACCACCAAACCCTCGCTTCGCATTTGTAAATGCACATGAAAGATGTACCTTGTACGTAGGAAGTACAGTAAAAAGAATAACAGAGAAAGTGAAAAAAAGGTAGGGAAAACAACTTCCAAAATGAAAAAAGAGAGTCCATGACATGCTTATACAAGATTTCCCATTCGCGTGGTCCTTTATTGCTTCTTACGTCTCATTGTCACAGATAACCTCTTCTCTCAACTCCAACGCATATTAATATCATGTCCCAGCTTTGTACAAAGGGTATCGGCACCTCCTATCGCATGAGCCTCGTCCTTGTTGGTTTGTTTGTATTGTAGATCGATTGGCTGAAATTGCTTCGTAATTGTATCGGGTTCCTTAGCGGTTCGTCTAGCTGACATGTCCTTCAAAAGCCGAAAAGGCTGCGTCTGGTCGCCTTCTTGCCCACGGGACCATCGCCAATGTTGACCGTCGCGTCAACCAAATCAACAGTCCTGTTGCCTCCGATCGAGATGCTCGACGCCTCCTTCACAGTCACCTGGGAGCCGAGCTTGGTGATGGATTGCGTGGCTTGGGTGAAGAACTGCTGGAGTTGAGTCTGCGCCGTGTTGGCCGCGTCGACAGTATCTTCCTGCAGCACGTACAGCACTGCCGTGCGAGCAAAGTCCAAAACTTCCTCTGTAACTGTGAACAGGCTGGTCTGCTTAGGAGATGAGGGCGAGGTTGAGGAGGCGGCCCTTGGAGCTAACAAGAATGCCTCGCCTTGGGCCGCTTCCAGCTGCCGAGAAGTGAGATCAGGCGTCGGTCCGGAACTTTTGCTGGTTGCTGCCTGATCCTTGGCCAAGCCATCGGTGGCATCTTGCACTTTGGCATTGGCTAGGCCTGTTCTCGTTGACTGGCCGTCAAAAGTAACAAGCGCATTTTGGGCGATGCACGAGAGGTTTCCCGAGTTGAACTTGGCCAAGATGCTCGTTCCGACGAGTGGGATCGAAAAGTTCTTGTTGGAGTCGGCAATAATGCGCGGAATGGCCATGCCGAGAGTGACATTGTTGATGCGAGAAGAGCCGTCTGTGGGCACCAGGTTGGTCGTTGTACAGCCCGCGGAGCCGCCAGTACCGCAGTTGGCACCAGTGAAGCCGTTGGTGCAGATGCACGAGCATGTGTTGTTGAGGACAACGGCGCTGCCGCCGTTCAGGCATGGCAGCGTCTTCGCACAAGTATCAAGGTTCACAGCCGAAGAATCGTCGTGGTGGCCCAGGTTCTTGAAGACAAAGAATTCCAGAGGCACTACGACGGCGGCTGCAATGATGCAAAGCATGAGCACGATGATCAAGATGAACCCCCACAGGGGTAGACCGCAACATCGACGGCCCTTTCTTTTAGCCGGTGCGTCGTCTTCGGGCTCTACCGAGTATTTCTCACGACCCGTCACGTAGTTTCCTGGCGCAAGAGGCCACGACCCATGGGGGGCGCGAGCGTTGTGTGGGGGAGTGTGTACCGGGGGAGGGAAGGCGGCCAGCATGTCCGAGAGACCCGATTGATGGCGTTCCACTGAAATTCACCCAGTCAGTCACAAGTCAAAGTAGATATAGTAAACAAGGGAATATGGCAACATACTATACGCACGCCTCATTGCCTCGCTGCCGCTCCCCTTTTCGTTAAAGAAGTCGAGCTCATCAAGGCGGCTTCCCGGGCGTTTGCCCTTGTCTATCATTGAGGCAAGTTGGGTGGCACGTCGGATGAGATCTGGCAAGCTGGTAAGGCTCCCTCTTGACTCGGCCTCCTTGACGGCGTCCATATCCAGCCTTGGCGGGCGTCGGATCGCAGACAGGCGGCTGGTCGGTTGCGGGGATCCGGTAGCTATACCATGATCTCCCGGGCTTTTCAGGCCGTTGTTGAGAGGGACCCCAGCGATATGGCTCGACATGCCAGGGGTAGTGGCCGGGGTTTGCCTGTTGGTAAATGAAGTGTTTGTGGAAGAGTCGGTGGATTCGTCGACAAGTCCCGTTCCCTCGATGAAGGGATTCGCAGAGGCTGACTCCTTTACGCCAGATCGTCGGTTGTTGAGCGTCTGAAGGGCATATTCCTCCCGGCCATGTACCAATTGGCTCTCGTCGTGATAATCATCTCCTTCAGAATTTCTAGGTTTATCCGTCAATGATTCTTCGTAGAAAGTTCCGCTAAGGCTCGGACTGATGCCCGATTCAACTCTCCAATCAGGCATGACGGCGCTTGAAGCGAAAGATTGATGGGATTTGTAGCCTGAGCCTTCTTCGGGTATCGGGGTCACATAAGACGCTGTCGAGTAAAAGGATGACTGGCCTCTTCTGCTGGATGGCGGAGGCCCCAGGTTTGCGCTCCTTCTAAGAGGCCCTGGGTTTTCTGAAGAGGGGCTCTCGACTATGTCCGATGGGCTCTCGGGACCTCCAGGGACACGAAACGAGGGAGTCGCTTGCTGTGGGCGGTTTTGGTCGACCAGGGAGGGAACTCGACTCGGGCGAGGCGGTCTTTGAGGAGCTGCTCGAGGTCGGTCTGGTGGCGGACGATATGATTCAGCATCGGGGGGCACCGCCGTGGGAGGGGACTGCAGCGGCCACTGGGGAGCTGGCGCCGGTCGCGAAATTGTCATTGCAGGGTTGGCATTCTGGCCATTTGGCGCTCTCGATCTCGTCGAGTTGGGCGGTACCACATCCTGAGGCAGTGTATCGTCACTCGGTCTCGCCTCGTGTCTTAGCCGCTGCTCACGCATGTTGGACTCGCTGCTAAAGGGGAAGCCAACCTGGGCTCTGTCCCGTGGCTTTCGAGAGGACTGTTGAGATTGTGCCGGCCAATCTCTGCCTCCATCATAGGCCTGACTCATTTGGATCGTCGAGCTGTCCGGTTACAAACCATACGGAGGATTGGCACAGGGCAGATTGTCGAGATGCAATGGGTTGGTTGGTGATGTCTATGGTGAGGTGCATAGACGGAGCCCTGCTGGTAACCGGTCCAACTGAAACCAACTTGGTTGCACTGGGCAGAGGTGGGACCAGTCGCAAACTGGCTCAAATGAAGTCGAAACGGTTGAAACGAATGAAAAGGCGCAAAGCCTTGGAGCCGGAGCCAACAGTTGCGCTGGTAGTTCTGCAGGCTTTTGTCGAGTAGACCTGAATAGGGAGACGGAACGAATGAATCTGCAGACAAGCACCAGACATGAGCAAGCTCCTCTACTACTAAAGGCCGAGCAATGACTACGACGAATCGAAAGCCAACACAGCAAACGGAAGAGAGTAACTGAGTCTCCGAAGCAGAGGGAGTAAGTGATGCTTACAATGACCGCTATCAAGTATGCTGACGAGGAGAAAAGCTCACTCCAGGAGATGTGACAAAGACACTGCTGAAATGAGAACAGCCTTCCTGGGCAGCTGGACCGACGCACTGTCCTGCTGTGCTGCCACAACACAGGCACGTTGGTAGGCTAACGACCGAGTTGCTGTCGTGATTGGACCAGGGGTTGGATCGAGAATGCAAGATCGTCACTGCGACTGTCTTGTGTCACGGTCTCTCGAAGACAACGCGAAGGCTAGAAGGACGATGCATGAGAGTCTGTGATATGTGAGCTGATGGCCGGGCAAGTCGAGAGCCGGGCAGATGTCGATAGAGGACGTGACCAGTCGGAGGCCCGCATGAAACACAGATATCGAAGGAAGATTCAAAACTTGGAGGATGCGAGATGATGATGTCCGGGCAAGGCGGTGACCGCAGGTGGGCAGCAGAAAACGTACCTACGAAACGGAAGGGCCAATATTCATCCGGAGCAGAACCAGAACAACAGGCGCAAGGCAATGAAAGAACGAAAATAGAGAGAAAATGCTGGGAAAAAAAGATGGACAATAGAAATTAACGAAAGGCGGGGAATCGAAAAGTTGGCAGCAGCAGCGACTGGCAGCTGGTGATGGAGAAACAGAAGAAAGAAAGAGTAAAGGTTGAGACAAGCGAGAAAACAGAAACTGGGGGTGCAAACGGACGACGGCGAGGGCTGGCGAACGGGCCAGGATGCGAGGGAAACGCAACAAAATACGACCAGAGGACAAGCCTTGCTCTGTGCTCTCTCTGCCTGCTGCCTTGTCGGACGATGGCCCAGCCAGAGATTCTGGGGAGAGTGACGAACCAGCGAGGACTCACCAGAATTTGGGGGAGAGGAAAAAGAGGAGGAGAGGAGGAGGAACATGAAGGACGAGGGCCAAGATGCGCAGTCTGGGTGCTTCGTACAGGTACTCTGCCACTTGCAGGGCTGTCCAAGTTTCCAGGCAAACCGTACATGGAAGACAGGGCCCAGGACCCAGGGCCAGGCAAGGTGCAGGTACCGGTACGCGGCGGGATGAGACAGGCTTGAGTTGCACGTTGTTTGCTGGTGGGGGAGCTTCGCGGCCTTGGCGCTGCTGTGGCGGCGGATGGCGCTGTGCTGCCCTGAGCGGTGGTGCCTGGCCCGCTGTAAAAGCGCAGACGGGGCGGTACAGGTACCTGGACCTGCCTTGCCTTGCCTTTGCCGGGACACGCATGCATGCAGCAGGGGATCCATGATGTTGACGGCCAAACAGCCAGGCATGATGCGCAGGCTTGGGAGACGAGATGCCGGTATGATGCGCAGGTCGGCCGCATCGCTGGAGTTATCAGCCAATCATTTCCGCAAGCACGGGTTCGGGTCTACATGTACATACGTCGCCCGCGTTGTGGTTTGCCAAGCGATGGAGACTGCAGAGGAGAACCTGGTAGACGGCATCAGCCAATGGGACTAGTATCACGATGGGGGAAAAAGAGAGATCGGAAAAAGAAGAGAAGAAAATCCTTTCCTAAAAACAAACCAACCAACAGCAGCTTCGCCAAGTGACAACTGAGAATATCCAGACTCGTGTTTCCGGATACTTAAACCGCACAGAAGCACAGGTCCTCCTCGTACCGGTACCGACCGACGTAATCAGGCCCCCCGGTTCCCCTGGCCGAACCCCTGAAGCCGAAAAAAGAACGTCGCTCTCAAGGCAAAACACTAGCGCCGCTGTTCCTGCAGGCCCCGCACCTGCGCGAGGCCTTTTCATTCGCTTGGCATTTCGTCGTCTGGTCTTCATTCTCCGTCACTCTCATGCACTTTCGAGCCATTGAGCGCTGGCCATCTACAAGTCATGGCTTTCTTTCTTTTTTTTTTTTTTTTTCTCTCTCTTTGGTTTCGTTCGTTGGACTGATCTATGGCCGGCCAGACGGTTGAGCAATGCATGAGATCACGCACGTGCATCCGAACGCTCTCACGTGAACAGGCTGTTGAGAAGAATCCATCGCCTTACAACGGACAGATGAGATAGCTATCCTCATTAGCTCTCAAACCATCGTCGGCTACAGCTCGCAAGGATACACCTAATTTGCAGCCTCCCTGGACGGCATGGAGATTTACCTCGTTTCGAGCCAGCCGATGGCGCTATTCCAGTACTAGGCGCTGCTGGCTGCTCTGTCCAGCCTTGGCCACGCCCAGCCAACTCCGAGGTGACCAAGATTTCGACTCACGGAGTTGATTCGATCCACAAGGCTGCCAACACCTTGAGATCCTGGTGACAAATCACACAACTTACTCGTGCTGCTACAGCTCCATGAGCTGCTCTATCCAAGCTTGCACGATGCCACCTCATACCCCCGTATCAATACGCTATCCATACGCAGCGGGCATACATATCGACCAAGACCCAGGCAAAAAGTGTGTGTTGGCGCTGGAAAGAAAAATCAGCGGCTGCTCGAGCAGGGACCGATCTGAAGCCATAGCGCAATCTGTTACCAGAACAAGCGAGACACTGCGAGCACTTGCAGGTGGATGCATCGGCCGCCACGAGAGATGGATGTATGTATGTCTCAGACACGCATGTTAAGCGGCAGAACTCGCTCTGAGGCTACATGCACCTGTAGCAACTGACCACAGGCCTACAGCTTATAGGAGAAGCCCTCTCGTACGGCGCTGAAATGGTGGAAACGAGCCTGATCTGTCCAACCTGCGGCAAAAGCACACTCTCCGTCACACGTTTACAGCCTCCAACCCCGTTCGTGACATGATTCTGGCACGATGCTTACGACACTCCGTACGGAGCACAACCTGCTCCAAACGCTCTGCCCCTGTCACAGCGCAACCCTGCCTCTCATCACACCAGCGATATCCACCTGCGGCCAGTCGCGCTCCCTGGAACAAGACGACGCTTCAACCCCCTGGCCCTGGCTATTCCAAAAGAGAACAACGGCTGCGTGTAATTGCCCACCTTTGCTGCTGCGACGGATTCTCGTACGGATTTCGCAGAAAAGCAGTGGAAGTCGGCGGCTTACGAGCCGACTTGCGCCCAAAGGTCTGGGTTCTTGGCTCCGGGGCAATGATAACCCGCGCGCCCGAGAGACGCTCTGATGAGGATACTACCACGACATCTATTCTTCGAGTGCGAGCGACGAACGGGCAGATCTTTGAGCTACGAGATGCACGACATAATCCCTGTTCACGACAGCGTCTCTATCACGTAGTAGAGACGGTCCCGTTCCCATCGTCTGGAGAGCCCTACGACAATCGGTCCTCAAGCGTCGACACGTCGACCCCACTGTCAACTCGAACCGGTGCATTCCATTTGTCGTTCGATTCTTCACGATATAAAAGACGAGAGCCCCTCTGTTGCCAACTCAGGGCAGGAAAAACACCTGCTCCAACGGCTTCCACCACGAGGGCTCGCCCGCCTCCGAGCTCGTAGCACCCTCCACCAAGCTCTCCTGCATCGCGTCCGTCATCTTCCACCACTCGCGCACCTTTGGGTTCTCCGCCATCTTTTGCATGTCGCCGGCGTAGTCGTAGCCAATGTACTTGAACGTGCCGACCAGCAGGTCCATATCCGGGTCGTAGAAGATGCTGTCTAATTTCGCCACCACCAAGCACAAGCTCATCAGCATCTATCTACATCATCAAAAGCGACAAGTTCAATCAAACAACGGAAAGGGTAAGTTATGAAAGGGGCAGGGCTTACAGTCTTCAATGCCGCAGTCCTTAATCTGCTTGAGCACCTCGGGCCAGACCTTGGCGTGGCACGCCTTGTATTCCTCGACGCACTCCTTCTTGAGCTTGATTGTCTGCGCGAACCAGCGGCCCGGGTTCTTTTGCTTCATCGAGTGCGTGCGGGCGTGGCCTTGGGCGGGCGCCGGTTGCGACTGTTCGTCGCCCTTGGTGGGAGATGTTGGCTGCCACATTTTTAGAGTCGATGTGTAATATGATGAATCGGAACAGCTAATCGGAATAAACGAGACAGAGCAAAAAGGAGAGTAGAGCAGTAAGGGATACAGAGCGAGAAAGGTAGAGGAGGAAAGACAAAAACCGGGACTGGACCGGAATATATTTGTCCTTGAAGGCTCGGAGCTTGTCGGTCAAGAGCTTGCGTTTGCATCCACAACCCGCACCTGGATGAGGGGGCAGACCAGACCGGCCTCTGCGGTTGCGGAACCGCCCTTTTACACCTGGGAAATCGTCGCCAGATGAGGGGAGTTGGGGAAGCACGACGTTGGGTCTGGTCTGGCACCCCGCAATCCGGATTGATGGGGGGGCAGAGTCAGTTCATTGTCATGTTATTGACCATGATATGCTTAGCAGAATCAACGGGAGGTGTAAGCACGAATGATCACGTGGAGCATCTCGAATTGAAGAGAGACAGCTTCTACAATGCTAAGAGAAGTGCTGCAGCATGTACAAGCGACAACTTGTAGGTAGTCCGCAGTTGGCGTTTATCAATCGAGCGTTGAGCTTCTTGCATGCCCACCATCGGTCCCCCCGCATTATCAAAAGTCGAGACCATTGCCCCAATCCAGCAAACTCCACGTCATGGAATTTTTTCCCACCTTTTGGGGATCACTGCATAAAGGAGCACGGCGTCGGTCACGAGACTGCATACAAAGTATTTACCCTGGATGAAATTTTTTCGAATAACAAGAAGCAGCATGGCTATTGAAGATGGCAGGCAACTGACACGGCGACATGACTTTACGGAGACAGCGTTGACCTGTTACTACTCGCTTTATTCGGCTGAGGTTATTTCACGTCTTGAGGAAAGAGAGTACTACCTAGGTACCTATTAGCATGCAAGCGTCGGGGAAAGAGGTATCAGCTAACCAGCCCTCATTTTCATCTCACGGAACATCGCCGGAAAGTTCTTTCCGATGAGCTACGAGGATCACACCTTGGATGCGGGAGCACACAGAGCAATACCAAGTGAAGTACTCGTAATAAGCCCATAAAAAGAGAGAGAAAAGGACAAGGACAGCCAAAGGGGAAAAAGGGCCTACCGAGCTTGTAATTCCGCGTTATTATTACAAACGATACTACCTACTCCGCTATACGTGTGCTACACGACACACCATTTGCCCAAACAAGACAAGCACAGCCAAAACCACACAAACGCAGACCCTCACCAAACCTAATCGTCAGCAAACAACCTGTATCCAAGATCCGAATTTAGCGCGCATAGCCGCTCTCTTCTTACCTGGAAGAAAATACTGGTATCCTAAAGAGACCTCCCAAAACCACAGAGCTTTGCATCAGTCGCACGCACGTACAAAAGAACATCCAATGCCCTCGGACTCGCACTAGACAGCTTCCCTCACCCCACAGTGGACTCCAAAGCTTTCAAGCCTCCCCACAACGCGGATCCTCATCCCGGGATCGGGGGGGCCCCACGCGGCTCGAAGAGCGCCGGGACATCGGATGAGAAGAAACACGGACAGGCAGAGAGTTTACATACCCCAGACGAAGTTGACGATCTGGAATCTGCCATGGCATGACATAGGGCAGCGTTACATTCAAAAAGTTGATATTACAGCATCACCTACGCAGTCTGGAACATGCATATGCCTTTCACTTCGTTTCACCGCAGATGGGAGATACACCAAAGATAGATAAATAGTGCACAAAAGAAATTTGCAGTGTTCAACTGAAGAAAGGCTGCTGCAACTAGCAGCTACTTCTTGTCCGCACCCAAAACGCTCATCGACGAACAGTTTTGCACATCAATTTGGCCTGTGCCGTCCTCTCCTCCGTGTGCCATCATTCTGCGCATCTTCGTCCAGCGGAGACATAGACAATAGACAAAGGGCATGTCATATAATGCCAATCTTTCTTTTATTTTCTTTGTTTTGTTTCTTCGTCAAATGTTTCAAAATGACGTTGATGATACACTGATTTTTGTCGCCCAGCAACTCGTAATAACGCAAGGAAATGAAAAAAAGGTTCAAAAGACATCGTCGCCCCCTTAGTTCTTGACCACCTCGTCCTCGGAAGTCGGCGCAGGAGTAGTGTCCTGAGCCTCCTCCGCCTCCAGCAAGCCCATCTTCTCCTCATGGGCAGAAGGGAATCGGCTGGCGTTGCGTCGGTGGTGAGGGCACCACGATCGGCGCGGCGCTCCACCGCGGACCAGCATGCTCAGGCGGTACACAACGCTGCACAGGAACATGGCAAAGCTATGACAAGAGGTTAGCACAGAATCAACATATAAGACGGCGGCATATAAGACAGGAGACAACGTACAATGCAACGCCAACACCGGCAGTGATGCCCATCAGGACGGGCAGGACAATGTGCGACGCAACGCTCAGGACGAGCTGGCGCCAGTCGCGCTGCGAGTTCCACTCCTCCTCGGGCGCGTGGTGAGGGCGCTGGTGGCGGTGCGGCTTGTGCTCGTGCTCGTGCTCGTGCTCGTGGTGATGCGGGTGGTGGCCCTCCTCGCCGTCCTTGGCGCTGGCCGCCGGACCATGGTGAGGACGACCGCCCTTGTGGTGCATCTTGTTCTTGTGGCAGCCGCCAAAGCCCTTGAGCGCCGACTTGGCGCGGCACCACATGGAGTGGCAGGGCATCTCGGGCACGGCCATGAGCTGCATGTCGGCGATGACAATCTCGCCGGTGGGGGCCTTGATGAGGCCGACCTTGACCATGGGCATGTCGTCGACGAAGCGGTGGCCGACCTCGATGACGCGCAGCCTGACGTCGACCAGCTCCAGCTGCTGCTCCTCGTCCTTGGCCCGCGGCAGCACCGCCAGGCTGTAGCCCAGCGTGCGCTCGCCGGCCGCGGCGCCGCCGGCCCGCACCACCTCGGCCACCAGGTCGTCGCGCCACGGGTCGGCGTGGGGATACAGCTCGAAGCCGTTGACCATCAGCCGGGACCCGTCCTCGACGGCAAAGTCCAGCCGCAGGTGCGCGTCGCGGCCGCGGCACTGCCTGCAGGGCACGTCGAGGCTCTGGCCCAGCGCCTCGGGCGGCAGCTGCAGCGTCTCGGGCTCGACGGGCAGCGCCTTGAAGATGCTCTCGTCCTTTTCGGATATCTCGGGGACGATGACGAAAGCAGCCGCGGTGGCCGCCAGGACGAGCTGCTTGAGCATCATGGCGGGCGAGTTGGGAAACGTTTCTCTCAGATCAGAAGGGATATTGGGTTTGTTGTCAAAGGTCGATGAGTTCGCGATATGGCGTTTGTGTGAAGGAAGCAAAAAGAAGGCTAAGATGAGAAGGGAGAAGGTCTGGTGCTGCTGTGCGAGATAAGGCCCAGCAAGAGCGGAAGAGGCCCCAGAGTGGCAAACGGGCGCTACGGCTGTGCATGTACATACCGTGCATGTACAGTACGAGGTCCGCTGAAGTTGCGCCATCAAAGTGCTGCCAATCAAAGCCCGATCCAGGCCCGTGATTGGCCGGGATTGGGCGTCGGACAAGCCTCAGGCCGACTCCCCGAGGGATTGGCTGATGGAAGCTGCCCGATTGGGCATGGGCGCACACGAGACCTACGTCAGCTCGAGGAGCAGCCAAGGCCGTTGAAGGCGCCGTATTATCCGCTGGAGCCCCTGAGGGAGATCGGATTTCGTGCCATGATCGTGCTCTAATCAATATGCGATACAAGACACAATGCGTATTTCCCTATAATAATTGGCCGAAAAGCAATCGGGTTTCATCTCGCAGATGTGGTGGGACGGCATATGTGTGTCCAGGTACCTGTACAAGCTGCGGCACGTCACTCACGGGCCCCGCCAAGTGCTGGTACGAGGCCGCAATACACCAAAAAGCCCTTCAACGACCAGTTCCTCAAGACGATTCCGATGCTTCAATGTCCTTGTACTTGGAATATCCTCAAACATGAATCTCTCATGATACTGAACTCAGTCCTCACAAGTAGTACCACTAGGTACTACCGACACATTATCTCAGACCAACACGGCCACGATAACAAGAGATTCCCCCATAAAGTCCCAAATCCCCCTATCAAAAGATTCCCATCAAAAAATCATCCGTAGCAGCAAATAAGAATTACCGTTCCAACATCCCATATATCAAGCCTCACTCCCCATTCTCAATCCAACAGGATTACCAGAGTACATGCTCTTCGCACAGGAGGACTCAATAACACCAAACCCTCAACTCGTCTTCACCACCACTCCTTTTCGTCTTCGTCAACTTCATCGTTGAGCTCACTCTCGACACGGTCATGCTTCTCGAACAGGGTTCGGACGCGGTGCACCGCCCTCTTTCCCCAGTCGAACAGTCCGTCTCCGAGCCCCGTCACGTTTTGGTGGCGATGCAGCGGCGAGGCGGCGCCCCAGGGGTAGTTTGGGTTGCTGGGCAGCTCCTCCTCCTGCACCGACACCGTGGGCACGGGATAGGCAAAGCCGCGTGAGCCCGATTCCTTGTCCTTGGATGTGGTCGAGGTTTCGAATGTCGTCGGGAGGGGATAGGGGTTCGAACCTGGGGAGAGCACGTCAGTTACTTTGCTTCTGTTAAGGCATGTTTGTCAGCTTGTACTTACTGCTCTGGCTGCTGGTCAATGTGCCGTTGGCCGTGCTTGTCGTGTTGCAAGTGGATGAATACGGCCGAGTCTGGTGCTGTGACGTCTCTGGAACGCCTGTTGTCATCGGCAGCGCCCAGCAGCGCGTCATTGTGGTATTGCCGCTTGGGAACCGGGTGCAAGTGGTTGTAGAGTCGGTGACATTGGGATACGGGTATGACCACGAGTGAGTGCAAGGAGGAGTAGCAGTCGTGCTGTTCAGATACAGTGTCGTCACAATGGCACTACCCGTCTCCCCGGAAGTGAGAGTGGTGGTATTCGGATACAGCGTTGTGACAACCAGACTGCCAGACTGGCTAGAAGTACCAGCGGTGCTGTTTAGATACAGCGTTGTCACAATCACACTGCCCGTCTGGCTGGGAGTAGCAGTGGTGGTGCTGTTCGGATACAATGTAGTGACAATGACGCTGCCAGTCTCACCGGAAGCACTGGCGGTACTATTCGGATATAGAGTGGTGACAACAACACTGCCAGACTCTCCAGAAGCAGCAGTAGTGCTGTTCACATACAGCGTCGTCACCACCGCACTGCCCGTCTCGCCAGACGGCTGCTCAGTCGGCGTGACAGTGGTATTGATCCAGCGCGTCGCAGTAGTCGGCGGCACAGGCACCGTCTGAACGATGGTTGTAACGCTTCGAGTCTCATTGCCTGTCACTTGTGCCCCTGATGATGTAGACGACAAGGAAATGGCGGTACCAGAAAGAGTGGACGATCTTGTCTGCGTCCTGGTGATGGTGCTCTCCACCACCGTCACATTGCCCGAAGCAGAGGCAGAAGGGCCGCCGGTCAGCGTGGAGACGATGACGGTAACCAGCTGCGTCGTGGTGGTGGTCGATGTAGACGATACGGTTGAAGACGGAGTCGCGCGCGTGCTGTTAGTCCAGATGGGTCCGCTGCCTGACGCCTGTGACGAGATCGTGCCTGCGCCAGAAGCGACTGAAGTCGTCGACCAAGGAAGAGCCGATCCAATAGTCAGGACCACGGATGTTCCATTGTGGGTGACTGTCGTGACTGTGACATTGCCTGCCTGGGAGACGGGCGGGCCGGAGTTGCTCGTGGAACTGCCTGATCCTGTCGTAAGCACCGAGGTGAAAACAGTCGTTTGGACGGTCGATTTGCCAGTGATGGTGGTGGATATGATGACTGGGCCAAGAGTGCCGTTGCTCGAGCTCGGCGCCGTTTCAGATGCCAAAGTAGAAGAAGCCGGAGTGAAGGTTGTGTTTGACCAAGATGAAGGCGCGGGCAGGGTCGAGCTGCTCCAACGGGTGGACGAGTTGGACTGCAGAGTACTGGTGCTTCCAGAGCTGAGAGGGATCGAGACAGTGCCGGATGGTGAGCCAGTGCCGGGCTGGGTGATGGTGATGACGGAAATGGACGGCGAAGCGCCCGAGGGAACGCCAGTTGTGAGCCATACCGTGGACAAGTTGAAGGAGTTGGTAAAGGACCACGTCAGGCTTCCAGCACTGACACTGGTGCTCGGTCCCGAGACCGGGCCAGAAGTGGTATTGGTCGCTGGCAGAGGGCTGAGAGTGACAGTTACCACACTCGGCGCTGCTGTGCCCGAGCTGCTCGTGCTGATCACCGTACCGGATAGAGTCTCGGTGGCATTGCGAGTCGTGGGGAAAGGAGGGCTGCTGGAGCCGGGCGTCTGCGTAGACACGCCGGTCCCGGAGATCCAAGTCGTGTTGAATCCAGTGACCGGCGGACGAGACTGTGTGTCTGTTCGACTGGAGTTCCAGATCGTTGAAGTCACGACTTGGCCAGATGGCAGCGACGATGATGACCATGCTCCGGAAGTGGTGTTGCTAAACGGCGGCAGCTGGCTTTTTGTCACCGTCAGCGTTGTTCCGTTGAAAGTGGTTTGCGAGGCTCCAGTCAAAATGCTAGAGCTGCTGCCACCAGTTGACGCCGCTCCCGTGGTAACAGTGATGATCACAACAGTCCCCGCCGGCTGGGAGGTTGCGGTGGAGTTGCCAGAGCCCGGGCCCGAAATAGTAACGGTGCTCAAGATTGTCTGTGCGGTAGCCGTCGTGCTCCAGGGCAACTGAGATCCCGTGGTGGAGGTGGCATTTGAGGATGCCACAGTCGCATTGGAGATGACTGAGCTGGAAAGGCTGGCAGATGAACCAGACGGCGCGGTGCCTGTAAGCGTCTGAACAATGGTGGTCGAGTTCAGCGTCAAGGAGACAGTAGAGACTGTGAACTGTGCAGCCGACTGTGATGTTGTCGCAGTCGCAGTAGAAGTCGTGTTCGCCCATGAAACGGATCCGCTCCATGTCACTGTTGACGAGCGGATCTCGCCAGAGAGCGTCTGGGAGGAGTGACCAGTACCAGTTGGAACCGCGGACGTGGTGAACACCACAGAGCCATTCGTCTGTACAGTTGAGATGATGACGGTAGAGACACCGGTGCCATTGCCAGCTCGCGATGTCGAGGAAATCTCGGGCACAGATGTAACCGATGCTTCCATGGATGAGCTTGACGAGACCGAGGTGGCAGTCGAGACGGTCGTCACGTTTGACGGAACGACCGTCGCACCGGCACTTGTGCTCACCGTAACGGTGGACGTCTGATTCCCTGTCTGATTCCCTGCAGTCGGGAGAGCAGAGGTGCTTGATCCAGCAGTAGATGCCGCCGGTAACACGGTACCTGACAGAGTCAGGGTGAAGGACAGTGTCCCTTCGGTAACCTCAGTCGAGGGAGATCCTGTGCCACTCGCACTCGAGGGCCCAACGGTGACGGTGGCCACAGACGAGTTGGTGAACCGGTAAGTAGAGGTAGCAACTGATGGGCCGCTTGAGGAGGACCAGCCGCTAATAAGAGAGGACGAGCTGTTGGACAGGGCCGTTGACGAGGTGGTACCAGTCTGTGCCGCAGAGATGGTGACTACAATGACAGTTCCTTTCACGACACTTGTGACACCCTGGGCCGATGTCGTGGTACCGGCAGGCGAAGTAACCGCAGATGTCAGGGTCAGGGTCACATTTGTCGGAGTGCCTGACTCAGAACTGGACACTGCAGTCTCCGAGGCAGACGAAGCAGACGAAGGAGAAGCACCGGTGGAAGAAGTCGCGTTCCAGCCCAGGGAGGATGATTGGGTGGGAGCTTCGGATGCCGGTCTCGTCACCGTGGTTCCAATCGACGTCAGTGTCACCGTCGAGATGATTGTTCCGTTCACACTCTGCTGAATGGAAGAAGAGCTTCCCGTTGACGAGATGGAGGCCGGAGTTGTCACTGTTGTTCCGACTGTCACGGTTGAGATGACAGTTCCATTTTCGCTTAGCACGATGGTCGACGTGCTTCTTGTTGATGAGATTGAGGATGGATTCGTCACCGCCGATCCCGCTGTCGTAAGTGTCACAGTCGCAATAACAGTGCCATTCTCGCTCAACTGGCTGGAAGAGCTTGTCGTTGACGACCCCGAAGACGAAAGCGTTGAGTTGGGAAACCGCGTAGTCGATAACACCACCGTGGACTCAGTCGACTCGGAGCGCGAAGAAGACGTAGAAGCAGACGAGGTGGATACAGGCCGAACGGTACCAGACTCATTTTCAGAGGAGGATCTGGTCGACGTGCTTGAACTTCCCGACGACTTACTCGAAGCCGACGTCTCCCCAGTTGAGGTGAAGGAATAACCGCCATGGCTAGATTCCACAGGCACAGTCTCCGCAGTGGCAAACGTGGTAGAGGACAGCGACACGGTAATTGTCCGAACGGTCTTGCTGGCAGAAGTCTCTGTGCTGGATGACGCCTTGGTCTCCGTCGACGAAAGATGGTCTCCAGCAGAGGAGCTTGAAGTCACCGTTCCCGCAAGGGTAGATGACGCCTCTGTGGATGTTGTCTGGGAGCCGACTGGGGATGAATGGCCAGAGTGGCCCGACAAGGTAGTCGAAACAGTCTGCGTCTTAGTCTTGGTCGTCACACTGGAAGCAGTGCCGGACGAAGATTCACCAGGGAGAGGGTCTAGATAGCCATTAGCTCAAGCCTTCAAAAGTCACCTTGACCAAGCAAATACTCACAAGGTGCAGTCTTTGAGGCAGTAGTAGTCGTGGTACTCGAAGTCACCGAGGTCTCCTCTCCATAAGGAGGAGGAGGATAGTAACCATAGTCGCTGGGCTCGCCATAGTTGGCCGCCCGAGGCCCCAAGACCTTGATGTGGCCAGAGTCATGATCATCGCGATGATTCACGTCGTCGAACTGGGCCACCGTTGCGGAGATGCCGGCGAGGAACATCACCATCACCGGCACGAGACCAGCAGACACGATGGATGCTCTCATCGTGGAGGTGGGGGGACACAAGAGCTATTCAAGAGTCAGAGACAATAGGCCATCTGCCGCGTATCCATATCCAGAGGAACTCACGTTTTTTCCCTACAATGAACGGACAATAAGCAGAATGGAGATGCTCGATGCTATTGTAGATGAACAAGACAATGCAGGGAATGTAGTGAGATGCCACAGAGATGAAAGGGGTCAATAGAAAAGAACGAACGAGATAATGGGGGAAGTGAAGAAAGTTGGGAGTCCCTCGAAACACCAAAGGTGAAGAAGAAAGAAGAAGAAAGAAGAACGCGAAGCTGACGCGCTACAGGAAGGGAAGAAAAGAAACAAACCAAAGCGAGATGCCTGGCAGCTGGCAGCTTGACCCTCCAGCGGGTGAGAGAGAAGGGATCAGGGGCACACTTTAGAAGAGCGAAGAAGAAGAACGAGCGTCAGGTACAGAGCCGGTCAATAAATGGAGGAGACACTCGGTCTGCCAGCTGGCAAAGAAGGGCTGTGCCGTCTGTCTGCTCGCACCCGTGGGCCTCCTATTAATCTGGCTCGAGACATTCTTCCGCTGGCAGAAGAAGCAAAGGCTCGCCAGCTGGTCACACGTCTTATCTCTCTTCACAGCTGAGAGAAGTATACCATCAACACCAAACTGCGCTGAGCCTCTTCTTCCCGGATGCGCCCTCCCGGAAAAGACTCCCACCCCCAGAGCATGTACCGCGCCAGGACTGTGCGGATACGACCACAACATAGGGAGCCTCAGGTTACAGAGATTGAGGGCGAACAACAACCTGAAGAGATCCCGAGTCCTCGGACGGGGCTCTCGCGAGTTTCCCATGTCTCGGTCATACTGAGTCCCAGGTGAAGGACATCCGGCATTGCAGACAGCAGCAGTATCAGGTTGATGAGCCCGCGAGCTCTGTCGTCGGGAAATCCCTGCTCTACACGGATACTACCACCGCTGCCGCACCCCCCCGATTCGCCACGAGCCAGAAACACACCTCGTAGGCCCCAATAGCTCTTTCGGCAACGCGCAGCAAGATCCTGCAGAGGAGCGAGATGGGAAGTGGGTGGTACCGAGATCCGGGGCATCTGGTGATGTGGCTCCGTTCCTGTCCTTGGTTTTGCAGAGAAGCACCACGGTAAACCCGGTTCTGTGCGACGGTCCTCGAGGGCAGGGCATCCGTGCCGAAAACATGTGAGGGACCGAGGAGAATGTTGGCGAGTGAGGTATCCCACATTGTCCCAGAGTCTTGACCCGAAACGATGAGCTGTCGAGGAAAGAAAGTATCCCTCGAAGATGCCATCGTATTTGTCGTCCCTCCGGTAGAATGAGTCTAGATGAAAGGACATGCTGAGTGTTCGATAGGAAGATGTAATGGATGTCGTAGAGCCTCCCTATAAGCCTCCATCGGCCAACACCCAGGTTTGACGAACTCATCGCGCGCATCGAAGTCATACACAGATCCTAGACAACCCTGTTATCAACAACAGCCCTCATCAGACCACCCAGCACGTCCTTCGTACAGACGGAAGAGAAATCGCGGGACCACCTATGCCATGAGCGTTTCCGTCGTCACACAACGAAAACCACGCTGATAACACTGATTCCCATTCCCACACAGACAGACAACCCCTCGCCAACCTTCGGATGATAGGTGGCTCCCCTCCCTCACAAGCTCCATTTGGGCCGAACGATGCAACCGCCATCTCGCCAGATTGGGGACCTCGTTAGACTCGGTCGTTTGCCTTCCCGCCAGGATCCCTCGCACACGCCTCGCCGCATAATGACAGGACGTCTTGTGTCCGGTTACAACAATGAGGTCGTGTCACTCCAAGAGCCTAGCTGCAGGTATAGACGAGTGTAACATCCGCCGAAAGCAGGTCGAACGACGGAAGGGAGTCCCGGGAGCTCCACGCCTTCTTTCAAGCGTTTTGCCATGGCTCTGCCCCTGTTCAGCTATGCCATTCCGTTGTTTCAACTTAATTTGGACCGCCGCGGCTTAGCTGTGCGAACATCCCGACTTGCTGGACACGGACAAAGCTTGGGAGAAGCTCCAGAGTAAAGACTAAGAGAGCCTCTGAGCAGTAAGACATCATGTTAGCATGCATCAGGATAAGACAGTATGAGACCGAGAGCCTAATTTGCCACGAATGGAGGATTCAGCCCTGGCTGAGATATGTTCCTGGACGATGTTGCTGGTCTGAGACTGTCTCATGAGAAACCGAAATCTGGCCGCTCTTATTCCTATGCTAATACTACAAACCCATGTTGCAAGAAGCCTCCACCGGTGTGAACATTTGCGGTGCATCAGGATGCTACCGATGCCAAGCATCTCGAGTCCCATACGCGGAGCACGAGTGCTTGTTGAGGAGTCCATAAATAGACGATCCAGCCGTGTGCGGTTGCCGGTCGCCCAAAAGGAAGCAGCGATGCATATCCCGGCAGCAAACATTGCGATGACTGTTGCGTGTATCATAATACGATACTACTTTGGCATTCTGTTTGACAAAGGAAATCCTCTTTCCGGTTGGCGGCGAAGCCGGAAAGCTCACTCAGCACCCTCGGCAGCCTGCCTCAGGTTGGGGGCGGTCTCTTTGACCATGGCGTTGTTCTGATGTTCGATATCAGCAGCCCAAAGGGCAGCGCCAACTAACAAGTCGATTAATATCGGAGCAAAGCCACTCAGTCACCATGACATGGACATACCAGTATTTGTGTAAGAGAAGAGGACCGACACCACCGGGATCATCTCGAGGAGGGTCGCGACGAGGCCAAAGCTGGGTGGCAGTATGGTTAGTAGGAAGTCGTCAGATAGCTTCGGAAAATAGACATACGATGCGTAAGCTCCAGAGTGACTCTTGAGCCACTGTGTCTTCTGGGGCTCGGACCAGCTCTTGAGTTGAAAGTACTTGACGCCGTTAGCACGACGACCACGTTGGTGGCATTGGAAAAGTAACAACATACCCGATTGTGCACGGCCTTGCCTCTCTGTTTACCTGTGTGAGGCATTAGCATAACGGGCTCGGCAAGCTCAGACAATATGGTACACTCACCGTTGAGGAAAATGAAAGTAATAGTGCCCACGACGGGGATGAAGTTCAGAGGCAGGTACATCAGACTCCGGATCATTGAAGTAAGGCTAATACTTTCGAACCGCTTCTTGAACACCTTGCCCAGCTTCTTGATCGGGTCGTTCCCTGGGCGCACTTCGCGACCTTGTTGGACGAGGCCGGTTGCGTTTCGCGCAACCAGCGTGCCGTCAAAGGTATCCAGGAGAGCATCTTGGAGCAGCCAGTTACGGGAGATCAGTTGAATGATCATGGCACTTTCGTTGAGCGTGAGGAGGACTGTGGAAAGCACCGCCAGCGGGCCATTGAAGAGCACGAGAACAGCCAGCTGTGGCAGATATGCGAGGGCGAACATGCCGCCAATAACAGAGACACTGAGTAGGCCATAGGGAAGGACCCGGTCAAGCAGCGGCTTCCACAAGCTGCGATGGTTGAGGAAGTAGAAGATTCCCTGTCATGCTGATGTTAGATTGAGCTGCCGCCGTGAAGCTGGTGGTGCTGTGGAATCATGTAGGCACCTTGATGGGATAGAGATATGCCTGGCTCTTCATGGCATCAGAGGCCATGACCTTGGCTTTGTCATAGTCGTGCTTGCTGGCCAGTTGTCAGCACCGTGTCGCCTGTCGATGTCCATACACTCTTCGGACACTCTTACATGACATTCTCGGCCCTCTTGCTGATGGAGTCGACGACGCGATTCCGCAGCAGGGACGAGTCCTTCTCGGATGATTCAGCCATTGGAGGCCAGAGGTGCTGTGAGAGATGCTGGATTCGGATTAAGCTGAGAGCTGGAGATGCAATGGAATGCTGTGTGCTGATTGTAGGTAAAAACGCGAAGCTCAAGCTGCGAATGTTACGAGATGCTGGGTGAAGCTTCGAAATGATGATGCGGGCAGCTTTTTAGCTGGAGGCGACGATGCGCGAAATGATGTCGTCATTGGCATGTGCGGGTGGGGCGACCAGTTACAGGGAAACCGCGATCAGATTATCGCTGCGATCTTAAGGTTATTCTGACCGCACATTGACATAGCAGATGCGTGATATTCTCTCTATTGTCAGCTATCTTCGGTGATTCACAAAGAGACCAAGAGAACTTCAAGGTGAACAATGAACCAGATGGAAAAGTCGAGGTGTCGCCAGGGAGGATCTAGCTGCATCGTGCTAAAAATACCCTCCTCCGCCTCCTTCCAGGGTAACAACTTGACTTGAATAGCCTCAACTCGAGATACCTCTCGACGCATTCCATCAGGCACCGCGGCAGTATATCAAAATCAAAGCAAGGCTCGCCACCAGATTGCATCCGCCATGGCGCTCAAGTACATACCAAACGACCTCCCGCTGCAGACGCTGGACCACGAGCCCCTCCAGCTAATGAAGTCGTCCCTGGAGCACATTCTCAAAACGACGCCTCCTCAGCCGGCGTATCTCGATCCGGCGCAGCATGGCGGCTTCATTAGAGGCCCAACCAGCATCGCCTATCTCTTCTTCCGGCTTGCCAGCCTGTATCCAGACGTCCAGGTGGCGGACCACCATCTCATGCACTGGGCCAAGAGATATGTGGAGGCAGATCGAGGGGAACCTGCCCTCACCACCAGGGTCGGGCTGAGCTGCGAGAAGCTGGCGTACCAGGCACTCAGGGCCTGTATCAGTGCGGACGCAAACGACGTAAAGGCCTTCTTGTCCAACATTCCAACCATCGTCGGTCCCTATTCGAATGGAGAGAAAGATCCTTTTGAGTCGGAGATCTGGCAGGGAAGAGCTGGCACGCTCTACTTCATGCGCCTGATGCGCCATCATCTCCCAGACTGCGCCGCCATTCTCGAGGATCCGATTGCGCAGGTATCTGCAAAGATTCTTGCGGACAGCGTCGACAGAGAAGAGGGCGGGTGGACGTTCCACAAGAAAAAGTACATTGGCGCTGGCCATGGTGACATTGGAATCCTGACGCAGCTCGCCCTCACAACTCCGGCTCTTGCTCCAGAGCTGGCGCCTAAGCTTCGGGCTTTGCTCAGGCTTCAACGGGACGGAAACTGGCCCATAGCCAAGGAAATCGACGAATCGCGTCATCCAAGCCTGATGCAGTGGTGTCACGGTGCCCCTGGAGTTTTGTATTCTCTTCGTGCGATGCGCCCGTACTTTGCCGATCTTCGTGACGAGATCGATGCTGCGATAGCCCGAGGGCAAGAAGCCATCTGGAGGCAGGGGCTGCTCAGAAAGGAGCCGAGTCTCTGTCACGGTATCTTTGGAAATGCTTTGTAAGTCAGGCGTTGTCACGTCGAATGCTGCAGCTATGGTAACACGTCAGCAGAAATCTGCCGCGTGGACCGCACAGAGAACATTTCCTGTCTCTGGCGACAATCGAAGCAATGGAACAGGCCAAGATCGTTGACCCCGACGTGTTCTTGCCGGCGGATTATGGACATGCCATGGCGCTTCTGTTCAACTATCACTCAAGCGCGGCGTGGACCTGGGCCGTCTGCGAGTTGGAGAGTCCACCGATGGTTGTCTATACGGATGTGTGATGGCGTAAGACTGCTGTTGGTGAGCTGTTGAATGATTTTTCACTTTGATCATGTCCGTCATCTTCAGTTGACTGATGTAGGATATCGGACACCTGTTGACGCGCTGCTGCATCGTCTTCCACTTTGTCATGTCTGCTATCTTCAGAGGTGAATTGGTACGTTAATCTGTTAACACCAAGTTACGTATCTCACAATGGTGATGACTCAGTCATTACCGTGAACGGAGTGAGCGATTGGAAGTCGCGCAAATTGGAGCTTCTCTGAGTCTGTTGCCGAGTTGCTGTAAAAGCCATCTGCAAAGCTTATGTTGAGTCACATAGAAGGGCAGACCTGTTGGGAAAAGAGTGGAAGAAGGAGATGTCGAAACGAGCGAGAACTAAAGGAGACAAAGGGGGAGATAAGAGATGGGGAGATTGGTAATGTGGAAGAGAATGGAATGAAAAAGAAGGGAGAAAGGAGAGAGATTGCGAAAGGAAGAAGAGAAAGAGGAAAAAATGAGGAGGAGGCGGCGAAGCGAGAGTCTAAGTACAGCGCCACTCACTCCACGCAATTTTCAGTCATCACTCTGCATTTGGTGGTTTTTTTGAGACGACCCTTACAACGGAAGTACCCCTGGAAAGCTGTCGATCGCGAGGGTCGAAGTTTAACTTGTTGGGTAAGCCATCGTGAAGGAATCGCGCAAATGGAGACGAACATATGGCGCAAAGCCAGTGGTGGCTATGCCCAGGATGTGTAGCGTGTGGTTGAATGAGGGCTGGTGGAACTCGCCAGTCGATGATACGTATGATGCGTTCCAATCACAGAATATCATACAAGTTCTTGCATACCATGGCTGACGCCGCATCCACAGTCCTTTCCAGCCTTCCAGACTGTTGCAGATCTGGAAAACCCCATGGCTTCGAAGCGGCCCCTCGAACCTTATGATCGATTAAGGCAGCTTGCCTCCATCTTTACGCGCGTTCCCCCAAGATGGCTTGCCGCCACCTCGGATGGCTTCCGGAAGGAGGCCTCATCCTATTCTACAAGGGGGAATCTGGCTCTGCAAGGCTGAACGCTTGACCAATGACGAGGAACATCGCCAAAAATCGCACCGATTGCAACCTTGGTGTTTCTGCCTTATAAGGCTGCCAATATCTCAAAGTCTTCAGTATTCATCGAGGGACATCTCGTCTGGAGCAAAACCTCCCGGGACATCTTCGCCGGCTGCTTTCGTGGCGTGGAGGAAGGCTGAAGTCTCAGGCGCGAGCCTCGTGAAGTTCAACATGCAGCTTGTATCAACCGCATTACCATTGGACAAAACAAATCGATAAATGAATAAATGGAAAATCTCAAGGTTCAGAGGTTTCAAGCCGTTACCCCGGAATTCAACAAAAAACCCCTGATGCACGCACACCCAAAGGGGTCCATTACCAAACCTTCATCCAACATCGAACGTTGCCTCCTGGTCTCGAACACCAGCCTTGCCGCCTCAAGGCTTCATGCTCTATCATGACACGTACCGACATGAGGCAGGCTGCATTTTTACAACCGATTTGAAGCCGAACTTGAAAAACTCACATCTACATGTAGTAAAACTCAATTACAGGCAATTTGAAGCCAAACTCGATCTCACATCTACATGTAGTAGTTCTCAATGACAATCGATTGAAGCCAAACCTAAACTCACATCTACAAGTAGTAAATCTCAACCACAACCGACTTGTAGCCAAAGTTGGCTCCCGCCTACATGTAGCAAGGTAAGTCTTAATCACAATCGCCAAACTTGAACTTACATCTGCATGTACTAGTCAACCTAATTGACAACCGATATGGAGCCGCTCAGAGCTACGTAAGAAGTCTCAATGCAGCAAACCTCAATCACAACCGATTTGGAGCCGAACTCCAACTTACATCAACATGTATTAGTGAATCATATTTACACCCGATCTGAAGCCGAGCTTGAAGCTCAACATCTACATGCAGTAGATCGCATTTACAGCCGATTTGAAGCCGAACTCAAAACTCACATTACATCTACATTGCAGTATTACAGCTCACCAAACCAGGCAAAAAAACAACGCATTCGACCCTTGTGATCTCAGATAACACCAAACAAGGCAAGTTTACATACGTCAAGCTGCATCCCGCATTTCATAACCCGGGCGTAATAAGAGGTCTACTAGTACGTAGTCCAACGTTGTAAGTTCTGTATGTAGGTGCGAGTCCCTGGGGCCGTTTCGGTGGATCCGGCGCCAAAAGGCCGTCCTGACGCCTCAATCGGTTTCGGCAGCGGCACGGCATTGGAAAGCCTGCCCCCGGTCTCGGAGATCCGCGTTTTTTTGTTTGATTGTCTCATTCTTACTGGCAGGAGGGGGGGATTTGCCGCCCCAACTAACGGAGATATTTCGTCTTTCCTTCTTTTCTGGAAGCCCTTCGTGCATGACTCGGCATCTTGTGTAAGACAAGCTGACGGTTCGTTGTAAGTTAGGCAAATTTGGCCTGGACAGGGTTTGATGCTGTTGTTTGTCCAGGAGAAGCTTTACATATAAGTAAGTAGTAGCCAAGGATGTGACATCGGCAATTGAGATCATGGTAATGGTGCAGAGGAGGAAGGGTAAGTCGCATCCGACCCCACCTGGGGCTTCGAGGCTTGCAGTTCTAGTATACAACGCATATAGACATATGGAACGATGAGAAGCATCGTTCGAGGGGAAGAATCGTGCAGCAAATGGCTTCAGAATGGGCTGTCGGTGCCGGAGCGGCAAACAGCTACAAAGTGCAACGGCTGGCGGAGTTAGGAGTTGAACAAGACTATTTCCCCCCCTCTCATGCAGGAGTTGGGAGGTCATCGATTGATCGAGAAAAAGGGCAGTTGACCACGCAAAAAAATCCCATCGTCTGACCTCCTGAACGAGCCATCATCACAAATGCCCGCGGATTATGTCTATAACCAACAGCAGCTTTCAACAGAACTCGTAATAGGGCAATACCCGCCAATGGGGTGGATATGAGTATATCGATGCATGAGGGCATAAGTTCTGGTGTGGGAAAAAAAAGGTCACGCGAGGCTCCCAGGCTGATTTCCGCGGAGACTCCGACTCCCCGAGGCTCCTTGGGGTCGCAATTGACCAGTCAGCTTTCTCAGCTCCTGCCCAGCCCTAGGAGAAGCAAGAAGAAAGACAACACGGACAGAACCAGATCGAGCTTTGTGGTGATGGTGGAGATGCAAGAAACAAGTCTATACTCGCTCCACTGGCTTCCGCTTCTTTCCAAGGGGGCTGCTCATGATCTTCACAGTAGGGAGTATGTGTTCCGTAGTCTAATGCCATGTAAGTCAGCTATGTAACCTGTAACTTTGTAGGAGAGGTGTCCGTCCCCCTCCCCCCCTTCGCTCTATCGAAAGTGCGCCAAACACCGCCCAACGGAGCGCTTCTTGAAGCCGTGGCCGGAGAGACGGGCACAAGAGAAAATGCAGGGGTTGCCAGCGAGAAGCCACGATCGACGATCAATCATGATGCGAAGGGTGTGTGCCTGGACCCAAAAGGGGGTGGAAAGGGAAGAGGGGGGAAAAAGAAGAAGGGGGTGTGCATTCGATTTGCAGAGACATGGGGACATAGTTGAAGAGCTGGGAAAGGCCCAATTGGGTCATCTTCTTTTATGTCTCATCTCGAAATAAAGGAGATGTTAAGATTATTTGGAGAGGCAAAAAAAGGCGCGGATATAGCATCGAAAAAGGGCATCAATAGTAGCCCGCTCGTACGGGGTCCAGACGTGAGACACGATAAGAGGCTAAAACATCGAGATCCTGATGGACTCTGCTTGACTTTGGACATACGTAGTACGGACACGACCTGGCCATTTCCGCAGCGAATTGAACCCTGCAGAAAAAGGTTCATTCGGGGTAAACGGCGATCAGCATCACGAGGGATCGGATTTACATACAGTCCATACAACGTTCTTCTCCAGCTCTTCTATCCGGGTTCTCTGTGACGCAGCCCAAAGCAGGCTCTCTCCAAGTCTTTTTCTTGGCCACCCGGAAGATTCCCTAGCCTCCTCACCATCTCTGGTCATGAGCCTCAATCTCATTTGCTGCTCCAGAGTTCCTGATGCCGATGGAATTTCCAACGATGACGGCTTCTTCCCTTTCGAATTAATAAAGCGAAAGCCCGGCTCGGTGACGTACAGAGGCGTCTTCTCCGTTGTCCTCTTTCGGCCTAGCGCCGGACGGAGCTCGACTCCCGTCTTTTTGGATGTTATTCCCTGAACAACAACTCGTGCTTCTTGTCGACTCCGTTGCTCTGTCTTGTCTTGTCTTGTCTTACACGCATTGATCGTGCATCTCTTACGCAGCATGTAAAAAGTACCTGTATGTATGCTGTATGCATAGTTCCATTCACACAAAAAAAGAACGATGAAATAACATAAAGTGGAAGCACCAGATATGGAAATCAATTCTTTTCATCCTCGGCAATGATTTCCAGCCAATCCACAGCGCAGGGTCGGCGACCGATCTCCCGTTTCCCACACGCCCCCTCCAGCGAGGCTAGAACAAAAATGCTGTAGAAACATGAGACATAACAGCAACCCAAACCACGACACAAAAGACAAAACATGCCAGACCCTTGACCCCTTTCTAGTCCCAATACTGGAGACGCAGAATCATGGATCAGAAACGATCGAGCTTTCTTGAAAAAGAAAAAGAAAAAAAAAAAAATCAATTTCTTTCAATTAAATTCGCGATTATAGCTCCTCATGTCACGGAGAAGAACGATGCACACCCCCCCTTCAAAGGCTGGCACCAATTAAATATCGCAACGCTACCTAGAATAAGGCGTAGCCTCGCGGCTCTCGTCGTCTCGTTTTTCTCCTTGGACGCCCCGCGGAAGTTGCCAAACTCCTCGGCGCCGGCACGAGCAGAAATCGACGAAGCGACTCCGGTTCCGTGGTTTTGCGTCAAATACTTACCTAAACGAACAAGGGGCAAGGGGGGAAGAAGAAGAAGAGAAAAAGATACATGGAAA